TGATCAGAGAGAGGGAGGGTGGGCACTCACCGCACGGTCTGATCAGACAGCCATCCTGCATCGCACTGCTCAAAGCCACTGGCATACGCAGCTTCCAGTTGCTCGGGGGTCGCTATCTTGGCACTGGCGTTGGAGCAGGCCTGCTGCGCCTCGGCGAAGGTGAACGCGTAGCGGGTTGACATCTGGCGGTAGTGGAACACGACCCCTGGATAAAAGGAGGGGGAGGGGGTGGAGCTCGGTAAGAAGGAGAGGTGGCATCAAAGACCCACTCCTCACTCACAATACAGTCCTCCGCACCCCTCGTCCTCGCTGGGGGTTTTTTTGGAGGGACGGGCAGTCTCGAGGAGCAGGGTACAATTGAAAGCTCAGCTCTTAGTCATCAGAGAGCCTGGCACCAGAACCAGGAGCGACTGGTAATGGTTCTCTCCCTGCCCCACCTCCTCACTCCACAGGCCCTGGTACCTATGCCCCCTTCACCCAGCCTCTACCCTCCATGTTCGCAGGAAATCCCTCACCAGGACCATCCGTAAACACAGGCATCTGTTAGCAGGCACTGTGCCCCAGCTTAGGGCAGGTCAGTGCTGACCCGCCGACAGCACCCGCTCCCTCAGCACTGACCCTCCGACAGTGCCCGCTCCCTCAGCGCTGACCCTCCGACAGCGCCCGCTCCCTCAGCGCTGACCCTCCGATTGCGCCCGCTCCCTCTGCACTGACCCTCCGACAATGCCCGCTCCCTCAGTGCTGACCCTCCAACAGTGCCCGCTCTCCCTCAGCACTGACACTCCGACAGTGCGGCGCCCCCTCCTGTTACCTTTGACAACCAGCTCGGTGAAATCCTGCGCATCATCGATCCCGCGTTGTACCTCACATCGGTATATCCCCGAGTCGTTGCTGAGCAGCTGGCGAATCTCCAGGGAGACATCAGTGACCGTGGCTGGGTAATGTGGCAGTGCCACCCTTCGATGGTACCTCTCGTTGACCTTCACTTTGTGCACCGTGGCAACCAGGATGTCTGTCTCGTTGCCATCGTGAATGAAACTCCACTTGACCCTGGGTGTGCCGGGAGTCTGGGGGGGCTCGGAATACGAGGCGAAGCAGGGAATGGTTAGACTGGCACCGAGCACCCCCTGTATAGGTGCCAGGGCACCTATTGTCACGTTCAGCGCCTTCACCTCTTCTGAGAAGGAAGCACATTCGATTGTTCACTTATCGTTGCCCATATCCATTGTCCCATCCCACCCTCCCTCCACCTCTTCTCCCAATCACTCCTTCACTTGTCCCCCCTACTGCTTCGGGCTTTCTCTCTTTATCCGCAATACTTTCTGTCATCTTCCCGGTCCTTCCTCCATCCCAACACTCTATCCTTCCTCTCCCCAGTTCTCTCCATCTTTCTTCTCTTTCCACATCCCTTCTCTCCCTGTCTCTCTCACTCTCTCTCGATAACTGCTTCGCTGACCTTCTCCTCTCCCCTTCCCCCCCTCTCTACCTCCCACCCACCCTCCCCCTCTCTGCCTCCCACCGGGTCTTTCTCTCCCTGTCCCTCTCCCGCACCTTCACCCCTCCCCTCCGTCTCTCTTGCGTTTTCTTCCTCTCTCAATTCCCCTTTCTCTCCCTTCCTCAACTCTCTCCAAATTCTTGACTCCCTCCCTCCTTTTCTCTGCCTCTCTTGCCCTCTCTCTCCCTTTCTCTCCCTCCCTCAACCTTCTCCAAATTCTTGACTCCCTCCCTCCTTTTCTCTCTCTCTCTTCCCCTCTCCTGCTCCCACTCTTCCTCCTCCTCTCTCTCCATTTTGCTCCCTTCCTCCTCCTCACTCTCCCTCCCTTCTTTCTCCGTCTCTCTCTCTCTCTCTCCCGGCCTCTCCGTGTCTCCTTGCCTCTCGCTGCCCTTGCACTCCATCTCAGCCCCTCCCCTCCTCCCTTGCTCTCACTCCCACCGTCAAACCACCTCACCCCCCTCCCTTCCCTCTGTCTTTGGTACTCTGTTGGGAAACGCGTCTCTCCTTCCGTGGAGCACTGTGAATTCTCTTGACCCGCAGTTCCTTGTGGGTCGGCAGGAAGCCGCACTTTTAAGGACAGCGAACAAGACGCAGCACCGTCTGATGCAAAACTTTCAAGCAAAAATTTTGAGCCCGTGGTGAATACCGAATGATCGTGGAATGGAGAAAGGAGGCGATTTCGTAGGATTCTGGGAAAGGGTTGGCCAGCTCGGAGAAATGTTCTTTGCCCTGATTTGGGAATCCCAAACTGTGGCCTGATCTCTGGATAGGATTGAAATGAGGAAGGCTTTCTTCACCGCAGCCACTCAGAGGTCGTGGGTGCCTTCCCTGAACACGTTTAAGGGTGCGATCCAGAATCATTTTGCTCCCAAAGGTGCAGGCAGGGACCTGAGAGTTGAGCATCTGGCTTGACAGTCCTTTCGGATCGTTCTTTCCCCTTTTTTTAATAGCGTGTTCGCAGGATGTGGACGTCCCCCTCCCCGGCTGTGCCAACATTTATCACCCTAGTTGCCCCAGGAGCGCAGTCAAAAATGGACTCCCGTGGGCCGTGGGGTTTGGAGTCACGTGTAGCCCCAGACTGGGTAAGGACAGCAAATTTCCTTTCAGCGTCAGTGAACCCCACAACCTTTTCCTCTTTGCCAGGATCGACGATGACGGTCAATCATTAGTTTGTTTTAAATGCAATTCAAATTTCGGAACGCTAATAGCCAAAGGGACCCGGGTTGTGGGGGGTAGGGGAGGTGAGGTATGTGGGTGCGCAGAAAGCCAGCACCACAGGGGCAGCAGGGAATCGGGAAGGGCTAATGGTGACTGTTCCAAGGGGGTTAGTGTATAAGAGTAGAACATAGAACAGTACAGCACAGTACAGGCCCTTCGGCCCACGATGTCGTGCCGACCTATTATCCTACTAAGATCAACGTACCCTGCATGCCCTACATTTTACTATCCTCCATGTGCCTATCCAAGAGTTGCTTAAAAGTCTCTAAAGTATCTGACTCCACTCCCACCACTGGCAGCGCATTCCACCACTCTCTGTGTGAAGAACCTACCTCTGACATCTCCCGTATTCCTTCCTCCAATCACCTTAAAATTATGCCCCCCTCGTCATAGTCATTTCCGCCCCTGGGAAAAAGTCTCTGACTGTCCACTCTATCTATGCCTCCCATCATCTTGTACACCTCTATCAAGTCACCTCTCATCCTTCTTTGCTCCAATGAAAAAAGTCCCAGCTCCCTCAACCTTTTCCTCATAAGACCTGCCCTCCAGTCCAGGCAGCGTCCTGGTAAATCTCCTCTGCACCCTCTCTAAAGCTTCCACATCTTTCCAATAATGAGGCGACCAGAACTGAACACAGTATTCCAAGTATGGTCTGGCCAGAAGTAGGGAAGGCTTATTGGAACTGTCCAAGGTGCTGAGGTGAGACTGCATCTGGAGCGTAGTTCTGAGGAAGGGTCACCGGACCCAAAATGTTAACTCTGATTTTTCTCTTCATAGATGCTGCCAGACCTGCTAAGCTTTTCCAGCAAACTTTCTGCTTTCGTCCTGGAGCACTGCGAGTGGTTTTGTTCCCCTCATTTAAGGAAAAGATATCGCTTTATTGAAAGCTGTTCAGAGAAGTTCATCCTGGAGGGGACTATCTTAAAAGCAAACAGGTTGGGACTCTACTCACTGGAGTTTAGAAAAGTGGGAGATTGAATCTTAAAGGATTTTTAAGGGGTAAATGCTGACAGGACGTGTCCCCCTCATGGGAGAGTCTTGGGGCAGAGGGCACAGTCAGAGGGGACCCAATTTAAGACAGAGGTGAGGAGGAATTTCTACTCTCAGATGGTTGCTTGTCTCTGGAACTCCTTACCACAGAGAGCTCCAGGACAGAGTCCTCCTGCATATTTAAGGCTGAGATCAATATATCGTTGATCGGTTCGGGAATCAAACATTACAGGGCAGGGACGTAGATGTGGGGAGTGTTGGATCAGCTATGATCCTGTTGAATGATGGAGCAGGTTTGAGGGGCAGAATGGCCTACTCCCGCTCCTATTTTTTACGGACTGTTTAAAGCTCCCCTTCAAACACTCTGAGGTCAGGGACAGCACGGGGTTAGATACAGAATAAAGCTTCCGCTGCACTGTCTCTGCTCCCCGCCCTCCCACCGCCATCAAACACTCCTGGCACAGGGACAGCACGGGGTTAGATACAGAGTGAAGCTCCCTCTACTCTTCCAAATTGAAAGTAAAGCTCTCTCAACTCCTCGATCTGAATGTAAAGCTCTCTCTGCACAGTTCCCATCAAACATTCCCAGGACAGGGATAATACAGGACTAGGTTACAGAATCAAGCTTCCTCTAATTTTTCAAACTGAAAGTAAAGTTTCCTCTACACTATCCCTATTAAGCTCCACCAGGTCAGGGATAGGATGGGATTAGCTTTCTATATTCTTTTAACCCACAGTGTCGGTATCAAACACACCCAGGACAGGTACAGCATCGGATTCCATACAGCGTGAAGCTCCCTTAAGAACTGGAATTAAGGCATCCTCTACTCCTTTAAGCTGAAGACAAATGGAAGGTAGGGCTCTCTCTACACTGTGCCCCATTGAACACTCCCAGTACAGGGAATGCATGGGCCGAATGGCCTGCTTCTGTGCCGTGTGACTCAATGACTGTCCCTTAACGCAGAAACTCCTGAAGCATGGTTACGCGTTACTGAGATGTGTCTTGAACTCTGACCGTCTGGAGCTGGGCTGGGCTTGCTATCAACTTCAGTAAGAGACGAGAGACAGGGTCTGGGGAAGGGGGGGGGTGGTTATTCGGAGAAGGGACTGACTCTTACCCCCAACTGCATTTGACACAGGCAGAGCCACCGAGAGGTCCTGGAGAACGCAGATCAGCAACAGGGATGTCAACATGTCCGGTTGGAGGCGAGAGCTGGGAAAACAGAATGAGAACTGTTAGCCGCTTGGCTGGGAGGGGCACGGGCTCGATGAGCCGAAGGGTCTTTGCCCCTGTGCTGCAGACCCCCATCGCCCTTAAATACCCGCCTGTCAAAGTGCCACCCTGGCCTTCTCTGCCACTGACAGTTGTTGGGGACCCCAAACTGAGGCTTTATAAGACTCTGGTCAGGCCACATTTGGAGTATTGTGTGCAGTTTTGGGCCCCATATCTCAGGAAGGATGTACCGGCCCTGGATTGGGTTCAGAGGAGGTTCACGAGAATGGTCCCAGGAATGGAAAGCTTAACATATGAGGAGTGTTTGAGGACTCCGGGACTATACTCATTGGAGTTTAGAAGGATGGGGGGAGAATACTGAATGGCCTGGGCAGAGTGGGTATTGGGAAGATGCTTCCATTGGTAGAAGAGACGAGGACCCGAGGGCACAGCCTCAGAGTAAAGGGAAGACCTTTTAGAACGGAGATAAGGAGAAACTTCTTCAACCAGAGAGTGGTGAATCTATGGAATTCACTGCCACAGAAGGCTGTGGTCATTGAGTACATTTAAGTCTGAGATAGATAGGTTCTTGATTATCAAGGAGGATCAAGGGTTACGGGGAAAAGCAGGAGAATGGGGTTGAGGAACTTATCAGCCAGGATTGAATGGCGGAGCGGACTTGATGGGCAAAATGGTCTAATTTCTGCTCCTATGTCTTACGGTCTTATACCCTCTCCACACCACAAAACTCCCCACCCCAACGTCTCGCCTCTTTGAGGAAGCTGTTAAGGCCCAGGAGGGTACAGGTGCTACGGGAATGCGAGAGAGACACAGCGAGCGCAGGGAGGGTCCCGTCGGGTCGAGCCCTCCCCCAACTCCCCGAGCTGGGAAAAGGAATTTAAAAATGACACGGGAGCGGAATTAGGCCACTCAGCCCATCGTGCCCATTCTGCCACTCAATGAGGTCGTGGCTGGCCTGATCATTCCCCAAATGCCTGCCATGTCCCCACAACCCCTTAAATCTGCCGCCCATACCCGGTCGGTGACTCTAGGCCCCCGTGGCGATGGTGCCGCAGAAATGGCTCAACCAGTCACTCCGATCAAGGGGCAAATGGGGGGAGGGCTACAAATGCAGACCTACCAGTAACGCCCACGAATGAACTGACAAAACCTCACACCTTCTATCCTTCCTGGGCCTACCTCTCCCGACCCCTCTATGTCTCGCCCTACCCCTCGCCGTCTCTCCCTTGTGAGTGAAAGGACGCGAGGTGTTGCATTTAGATAGCACCTTTTGCTGGCGAACAATCAAGGCGGCGCACAGAAAGACAAGGGCAAACGAGCAAACAGGTAGATTAGGGACAGTCTCGGGAGGGAGGGAGATTTGGAGAGATGTAAGGAGAGTTGGAAAGGTGTAGGGCGAGATGGAGAGGTGTGGGGAGAGACAGAGAGGTGTGAGGAGAGATGGAGAGGTGTAGGGAGAGTCGGAGAAGTATAGGGAGAGTCGGAGAGGTGTAGGGCGAGACAGAGAGGTGTGGGGACAGACGGAGAGGTGTGGGGAGAGATGGAGAGGTGTAGGGAGAGACTGAG